CGAAGATCATGCCGAGTAGTATGAGGATAAGAAGAGCAAGAGCTGACCACACGAGAGTGCGGCCAGCTCCGCTACCAAGTCGAAAGTGAGCCTGGTAGGTCACATTGCATCCAATTCCATGTCGAAGGAATACGATATGGGGAGTGGATGGGTAAGATAGGATGAAATCGATGTATCGGTCTTTCCAACACATAGCGAATACCAAGTCAGGTATCCGGGCAAATAGGGCGCGCGTGCCTTGAGCCAAAGGCAACGGCGCGCAAGCTATACTCCCGATTCTATATAACATCTCCCAAAGAGCTACCGTTAAAGTTGCGCGCTGCGATATGCCGCCGTTGACGCAGCGCCTCGAGGAGGTCGTCGCGCTGCTGCCGGGACGCGGAATCGCGCCGCTGAGCGGCTGAAATAACGAGGCGATTTCTCCAAGTGGAACACGGAGGGCCCTCGCGACGGCGGCGGGGAGAAGCTGGAAGTCGTCGAGGCCGAAGCCCACGATATCCGCCTCCATGCTGGCGATATCCCACATGGCTAAGACGCCGTCCATGCGCTCGCCAGGCTGCACTCGGAAGCCCACGAGTTCGAGGCCCTGATGGAACGAACTGCCTTTCGTCATCCAGGCCTTCGAACCTCTAGGGCAGCTAATCCTAGAGATATATCACTGGGTTGGCGAGAACTCTCTTGACCTCCGCGCCGAAGTTGATGACGGCTGGAGGGATCCGCATCGCCAGTCTTCGGGCGAGGCCTTGAAGTCTTCGCTGTAGGGCAGCCGCTGGCTGAAATGGGGTCACCCGTCCTGATTGGACGTTCAGTCAGGCGCAAACCTCGCGCTTCCACGCGCGGCACGGGACGGATCCAGCAAGGTCCCAGGCGAGACCCCGCGTTTGATCGCCTTCTCTCTCTCTCTCGCGGTTCAGATGTCCAATAAAAATCAAATAGCCTCCGCGAGCCGACCATGCACTACCATTCCCAAGAAGATCCTGTTGAGGAAGGTGGAAAAGCCGCAGTAGATCTGGAAGAAGCGATGGCGCCCGTCGCGTTGCCACGAGCGGCTGGAGACAGAGAAAAGCTCGCGAGTCGGCGATCCTGCAGGTCGGACGCATAAGGATCATTCGCGTTACCGCGATAGAAGGTAGATAAGGTCGCGATGGAAGAAGTAGTCGTAGAAGTCGTAATAACGGTCGAAATTCCTCGAGCGCTTGACTTAGAGAGACACGTGGCCGTGGTTGACGATGTGGTAGTTGGGAAGAGGAAGGCCCTCATCATGTCGGTCGAATCGCCTCGCGCGCTTGCAATCCATATATTAGAGGGTCGGCACTATAACAGCGTAGCAGTGGGCGCCCACATTGACGTCGTACACATAGTCGTCCACGATGTTTTTGGCCGGCGCTGTGCGTGTCGTGCGCCAGGGCCTTGACAGTTCCGCTACCAAGCAAAGAACCAGTGTTTCAAGCCATGGGATGCGTCTTTAGACAGACGGTTAGAAATAACGGGATTGTGATGGAGGAGATACGGGCCCTGTTTTATTGCCGATACCTCCAATAGAAATCCGGTTGTGCAGCCGATACTGGCACATAGGGCGGCAGAGCCTCGAGCCAAAACAGCAACGGAAGCAAGCTAATCGATGCCCCTCCCATGGGGCAGACCCTCGATGTGGAAGGGCGCAAGGCGTCAGAGTCACATGATCTTCTTTAGCCCCAGCGAGAAAACCTGAATCATTGATTTTACGGACACCTTTGGCCACATGTTGGCACCTGGGGGGAGGGTTCATGGACGAGTTCCCTTCTGTGATAGAACGCATCCAAGATTGCCTCAATATGGCCCCCAAAAATGCCCAAAAAGGGCCCCAAGATGCCCCCAAAAAGCCCCCAAGAGACCCCCCAGGAAACCCGCGAAACTCCCCCGAAGCACCCTGACACGTCAAAGGGCCACCGGGACCGCCAAGAGGCCACCAAAACGTTGATCCCCCGAGGGGCGAGAACAGACGGTGAACAGTTTAACTCGGTGGGGCCGCCGCCTGAACAGCAGCCTCTCTTGCATGAACTCTTTCCAGGATCGCCTGCATCCCCGTCGTTTGTAGAAGGCGGCCCAGCCCGACGGCGAGCTGTCCTGCCTCACGGGGCGGTACAACGGCTTCCAAGCCTTTATTCCACTGCACGCCCCACACACACACAACACGCCTGATCAGGACATTCGCCCGGGCATCGTTTTTGGGTGGATTGGCGGGGTTACGCGAAACGTCTGGATATCTCGCGGACGAAGAAGGTGACCAGGAATGACACACAATTATACAGACACTTCACGATGACGAAGCAGGCGGGAAAAGAGCGGTGAGGATAGCAACGACGGATGCGATGGGGAAACACCAAGCGCCAGAACGTCGCACGGGGCTCGAAAATCGAGCCAAACGGAATCAAGCCATCGGATAGTTTTGGCACCTCTTATAACCTTCTGAACGCCGTCGAAACACTCCCGAAAACCTAGGGGCGCAACTTCCGACGAAAGGACACAAAGAAAACGGGAACAGCACGACGCTTCACAAAATAAGCTGCATCCAAATAGTTTGTCTGTTACCAAGGACCGCTACAGGGTGACACTGGCAATGGCGATGACGACGGCGATGATGACAAGAACGATGACGATGGTAACGATACGAATGACGAGCATCATCCCACCACCTCTGAAATCGTCATAGATGTCATCATCCACTGTCGCCGTTGCCCCCATCAGCATCACCACCAACACCACCATCGTCACGATGGACACAACCATGATCGTCATCATGAGCGCCACCATCATCCTCATCATCATCAACAACATCATCATCATCACGACCATCATCTGCTTTTGGCCAAGAATCGGTATATGCATCAGTATTCACAAATTCTGGAATCTGTGCCAACCAACTCGGGCTGAGCATACCCGCTGTGAAAAGGCACCCTGGTCAATGGGCGCACGCCAGCAAGGCGTCCGACTGGCTGTTGCTGCACCAACAATGTGCCGATGAATGACAACCCACTGTTCCAGCGCCTCGATTGAACGAGTACTCAACGAGCCCCCCTCCCGCCTTCGGAGGCGCGTTGTGCCGAAGAAAAGCCTCGCCGCAGCGTTCCCTGCCCACCGGCCCCTCTTGAATCCTCAGACAAGCGAACGCGCAAACATGTGCAACCCCCCTCCGCCGCGACCACAGCACTGAGTGGAGCGCAGGACGGCGGAGCCAAATTTCAAATTGTGACGCTTGCGTTGTGCCACAAAGGCGCCAAGGAGGTCCCACATCTGCGCGCGGCAGCACGGCCGAAGCCGACCTTCAGCTGCAAGACTACTGCGACAGACAGCTGTGGAGAGGTTTCGGTTGATAACCTGCGGTTTGCCAAGCACCATTGAAAGACATCTGGATTCACCAAGTCTGGAATCTGTGCCAACCAACTCGGACTGAGCATGCCCACTGTGAAAAGGCACCCATTGTCCGGGGACGCTCGCCGGCAAGGCGTCCGATTGGCTGCTGCTGAGCCAACAACGCGCCGATTAACGACAACCCGCAGCACCATCGTCTCGTTTGAACGAATACGAAACGACTTCATGGTCATCACCATCCACCACCTACTCCCCCCTCATCCTCCCCTCCGGTTCTGTTCCTTCCCCATCAAAAAACAGCTCCACTACCCCCCACACACGCACACCCGTTTTCTCTCTTTCCTTTTTCTGCTCCTGGTGTTTCCCCTCGTCCTCCTCCCACTCCCTCGCTCCACTGCGTAATAAACAAAACCCGTCGAACTTCAGAGTGCAGCGCAGGATTGACAGACAAGACATTGTTCAATTCCACAGCGCTCGTCAACCTCCTTTTTTTCCTCCTCCTCCTCCTCCTCCTCCTCCTCCTCCTACTGCTCCTCGTCCTCCTCCTCCTCGGGCTCTTCATCCTCCTCATTAAAGAAAATGCATCAACATCGCCACGACGAAAAAAAAACATCATCATCGTCATTATCATCATCATCATCATCCTCATCATCATCATCATTACCATCATTATCATCATCATCATCGTCATCATCATCATCATTATAAATACTATCATCATCAGAACCATCACCATCAGCATCACCATCATCATCATCGCCATCATCATCAACATCCTCCTCATCATCACCATCATCAGCATGATCATCATCATCATCATCGTCATGATCATGATCATAATCATCATCAACATCATCAGCATCATCATAATCATAATCAGTATCACGCAACAGCATCATCAATATCATCATCATCATCATCATCCTGCAGCAGCATCATCATCAACATCATCGTCTCATAATCATCATCATCAGCAGCAACAGCATCATCATCAGCAGCATCAGCAGTATCGTCATCATCATCATCATAATCATCATCCGAATCATCATCATCATCATAATCAGCATCATCATCATAGCATCACCATTATCAGCAACAACAACTACTACAGCAGCAGCAGTATCAGCATCATCATCTTCAACAGCAACAGCAGCCGCACCATCATCATCAGCGTCATCAGCATCAGCATCATCAGCATCATCAGTAGCATCACCATAAGCAACAATCACATCATCATCACCCTCTTCATCATTTTCATCATCGTCATCAGCATCATCATGAGCATCGTCGTCATCATCATCAGCATCATCACCAGCATGAGCATCATCATTATGACCAGCAGCATCATCATCATCAGCATCATCAACATCAACAGCCGCAGCAGCATCATAGTCATCATCAGCATCATCATCAGCATCAGCATCAGCATCACCACCACCGCCATCATCAGCATCATCATCTTAACCATCCTCCTACGCAACCATCATCACCACAGACAGAATCATCACCACTGTCATCAGCAGCATCGCCCTCCATATCTCGTCCTTCTTCTCCTCATCCTCATCCACCTCCTCTTGCTTCCTCCTCCCCTCACGCCCGGGCCAAAACGCATCGAGCCAAAGGCAAACTCCAGCTTGCTAAGCCGGGACCTGCACGAGGGAGACATGTCCTCGGATCACCGTGGCCACGAATCGACGGAGAAGCATAAAGAGAGACAGAGACAGAGAGAGAGAGATGGAGAGAGAGAGAGAGAGATCCTCGATATCCTCACGTGCGCTTTTCCTCCGATGAGCGCCTCTGCTGAGCAGGTCCGGTCGACGAGAAAGAGAGAGAGAGAGAGAGAAAGAGAGAGATGGGAACAGAGCGTGAGCGAGAGACAAAAAGGCCGGCAGGCAGGCAGGCAGGCAGGCCAGCAGGCACGCGGGCAGACAGACAGACAATCAGACAGACCGACCGACAGCCAGAGGAGACAGACAGGCAGGCAGGCAGACAGACAACAGACAGGCAGGCAGGCAAGCAGGCAGGCAGGCAGACAGACAGACAGTCAGAGGCGGGTCGCGAGGGGCACTCGTCAGAAGGGAGGGGGGGAGAAGGAAACAGAAGCGAGGATGGAGGAGGGAGGAGGCGAGGAGGGAGGGTGAGAGAAAAGGGGGGAGGAGGAGGAGGAGGAGGAGGAGGAGGAGGAGGAGGAGGAGGAGGAAGAGGAGGAGGACGAGGAGGAGGAGGAGGCACAGGAGCAGGAGCAGCAGCAGCAGCAGTAACAGGAGCGAGCAGGAGGGCGAGAGGTAAGACAATACAAGACACGACGGTCGGCAAGCAACTCTCGAATTGCCTTATGAAAGCGAGGGCTAGCAGTGGCAACAATAGGAAGGCAACTCGGCCTGGGAAATAGCGGACCCCTCGGTGAAATATGAAGCGAGCGTTCAAAACGAGGAATGCTGCTAGAACGTCAATAGCGCAGAAAGCATGAGAGTGCACACGGAGGAAGACAAACACATGATTTGGCGCATTGGACGCGCTGGTCGCGACGGCGGCGGGGCGCGCGCGACGGGCGCGAGAGCGGCAGCGGCGGGAGCGGGAGCTGGTGCGGCCGCGCTGGCACTCACGGTGGCACGCGGTGTCGGCATTTCAAAGCACAGCACCCGTTCCTCCCAATAGTCCTCCGCCCTTCCCATTCTCGTTCCCTCCTCCTCCTCCTCCTCCTCCTCCTCCTCCTCCTCCTCCTCGTCTTCCTCTTCCTCCTCTCCTCTCCTTCTCCTCCTCCTCCTCCACCTCCACCTCCTCCTCCTCCTCCTCCTCCTCCTCCTCCTCCTCCTCCTCCTCCTCCTCCTCCTCCTCCTCCTCCTCCTCCTCCTCCTCCTCCTCCTCCTCCTCCTCCTCCTCCTCCTCCTCCTCCTCCTCCTCCTCCTCCTCCTCCTCCTCCCTCCTCCTCCCCTCCTCCTCCTCCTCCTCCTCCTCCTCCTCCTCCTCCTCCTCCTCCTCCTCCTCCTCCTCCTCCTCCTCCTCCTCCTCCTCCTCCTCCTCCTCCTCCTCCTCCTCCTCCTCCTCCTCCTCCCTCCTCCTCCTCCTCCTCCTCCTCCTCCTCCGCTCCTCCTCCTCCTCCTCCTCCTCCTCCTCCTCCTCCTCCTCCTCCTCCTCCCCCCTCCTCCTCCTCCTCCTCTCCCCCTCCCTCGCTCCACTGCGTAATAAACAAAACCCGTCGAACTTCAGAGTGCAGCGCAGGATTGACAGACAAGACATTGTTCAATTCCACAGCGCTCGTCAACCTCCTCTTTTTCCTCCTCCTCCTCCTCCTCCTCCTCCTCCTCCTCCTCCTCCTCCCTCCTCCTCCTCCTCCTCCCCTCCTCCCTCCTCCCCTCCTCCCTCCTCCCTCCTCCTCCTCCCTCCTCCTCTCCTCCCTCCTCCCTCCTCCATCTTCGTCGTGTCCCATGTCTCCCCCTCTGGCTTCCCCTTTTCATTCGCAACCGCAGAGCGAGGCTTCGATCCTGCAGCATCACTGCCGACGAAGACCGGCTCGGTGTCCACCACTGCGCTGCACCCTCGGCCTGCCCGGGACTGGCAGCGCCACCGCGAGGGAGGAGCAAGGAAACGTGAGGAGGTTTTTAATGTTTGAACAGGGGGCCCAGAGGCTGGTGCGCGCAACCTCGGCCGCCAGCGACTCCAGCGGGCGCCCTCCGGGGCCGCTCCCCCCTCGGGAGCGGCGACAGCTATGGCCTCGACCGAGACACAAACGGGCTCTTCCTGGGGAGCTTACATAAGGGATGGGTGGCTGGCCCTCACTTCGATGCCCAGAGGGGAACGAGCATGCCATAGTCCAAGAGAGAATATGGGATGTCATTCACGATGAGGATGTTTGACGAGAAACCACCAGGAGAGGTCTGAGAGGACGGCCACCACATATGCCTGGCGACTGGCGAGAACCCCAAAATACTCCATACGTCTACACTGCAGGAGCCACAGGACCACCAGAGCAATATCACCTGGATTTATGTGCATGGGGAGAGAACTCACAGCAACCCTGATTGAGAACAATAGAGCCCATGAACATTCGATTGAGACAACACCAAACACTATCATTCGATCCGCCACTCTCCTCGAGGCACGAGTTGGAGTGTCCTCAGGTCCCCGGTTGGACCCCCTGGAGCCTCAGTCCTCCATCCGAAGTAGTCGTGAAGGGGCCCGGACCAAACATGGTCAAATCTCCTGGGGCGCGCCGCGTGGCCCCAGCGGCCCGTCGCGCTACGTCGCATGACTTTGTCCGTCCCACGAGGGCCCCGAGACGGGCCAGGGAGGATCCCGAGAGGCCCCCAGGACGATCCACGAGGGCCCCGAGTCGCCGAAAAATTGATCCAGGACGCCCAAATGGCCTCAAGACGGCCGAAGATGCCCCCAAGACGCCCGAAGAAGCCTCCAAGCGTCCCCTGAGAGGACCACAAGAGACAAAAATCAGAGGTATTCCTGAAGTGTTTGACAGATTTGGGCGTTCTCGCATTTTCGGTTTCCCGACGCGGCCCAAACGATTTTTCCAAGACTCCCCAAGGGGCCTCCAAGAAGGCCCCTGAACGGCCCAAGAGGGCCCCAAAACGGCCCAAGAGGCGCCCGAGACGGCCCCAGAAGCCCCCAAGACCGCTCCAAAAGGGAGGCCCGACGGGGAACCCGAATGGACATTTCAAGCCCTCTGTCTCGGGAGGCCCCCAGGAGGCCCCAAGAGGTCCCCTAAAAGGCCGCCAAGAGCCGCCAAGAGGCCCCCAAGAGGCTCCCCGGTGGGAAGTCCTACGAGGACCCTAAGAGGCTTCCGAGAAACCCCCAAGAGGCCCCCAAGAGGCCCCCAAGAGGCCCCAAAGCTGACCCCAAGAAGTATTGCCCTGAGAACTCTGATCCACAACCCGGGCACGGTGGCGGGATGGGCCGAAGGCCATTACACCTGTTTGGCACTGGGGCGGAAAGCGCTCGTACTCTGTGAGGGCGCGAGGTCGCTTGCTCAGTGTGTCGGAGCCCTCTTGTTGTTAAGTCATTGGTACATCATACAAAAGACTAACAACCAACCTTGCGAAAATCAAAGAATATGGCAACTCCGGGCATTCTTGGGGGTCCGTTTGGGGCTCCTTTTGGCCGTATTGGGGCCCTCTTGGGTCATCCGAGGGCCCTCTTGGGCCGTCTTAGGGCCTTGGGTCGTCTTGGGGCCCACTCGGGGCCCGCTTGGGCCCTCTTGGGGAAATCCTGTGGCCCTCTTGGAGCTCTCTTGGGAACTTTCTGGGGCCCTCTGGGGCCTCTCTTGGGCCGTCGTGGAGCTCTCCGGGGCCGTCTTGGAGCCCTCTTGGGCCGTCTTAGGGCCGTCTTGGGGGCCTCTTGTGCCGTCTTGGGGGGGACCTGGGGGGCCCTTGGGCCGTTGTGGACCCTGTTAACACCTAAAAATATAAGCTTTCCCAACGGAGTGTGCCTCTGGGGCGCACTTTTGGAGGCCCCGTGGAACGTCTTGAGGGCCTCTTGGACCGCCTTGAGGCCGTCCTGGGCCATCATTGAGCGATCGCGGGCCGTCTTGGGGCCCTCGTGGTCCTCCCGACCAACGGACCGCGACACTACGCGCGCTTCCCGTCATCTGGGACGGGTCTTGCCAACCCCCTCGACTAACGAATGGATCGCGACGTGACGCGCGCGTTCCGTCATCTGGGGAGAGGGAACGCTGCGAGTACCAACTTGACAGCTGGGATGAGGGAAGTGAAAGAGAGAGATAGGTAAAGCGATCGAAAACGGACGAGGCGGAAGTGTAGTTGTGGCCTTTTTTGACATCGGACGCACAGAGCGCGATCAGGGTTCCAGTAGAGGTGGATTTCAGTAGAGGTGATTTTCTCCCTACAGGATTGTTATCACTGATGAAGTCATCCTTGATATGGTCATGGAAGGGGTGGCTCCATCTCTAATAGGATTACATGACCGATGCGTCCATCCCTAATAAGATTTTATACATATATATATGTACATATATAAGAGGTGGTTCCATCCTTCATACGATATCTGTTCAGGCGGCTCCAAGGCTGATGGGATTTTGTCAAGAATTCCATTACAAGCGGCTCCTTCCCTGATCGAAATTGATCAGGTAGCGTTATGTACATACAAATTTCTTTTGCGTGGATTACACACCGAATCTTTTTGCGCGACTCTTCACTAGGATCCCGTTTTGTGCGCGGTATACAAGTATCCAAGTGTATCCCTACTGTGTGGGTTGCACATCACATGTCGTTGCGCGTCTGTGCGATAGAGCTCCGCGTGGTAACTGAGCGAACGCGGGTCGGCGCAAAAGGCGCATGCATTCCCTGGTAACTTTGAGCGAGAAACCAATGGCTGCCGCCTCATCGCACAAGACGTAGCGGCACGCCCGCTCGTAAAACTTGGCAAGGTCCGTTGTCAGCGTCGACCTCCTGCAGCGCGCAAATTGCACCATGACCTGGTGGACCCAACACGCTCTGTCGCACCCCCGATCCTTCTGGCCACAAAACACTGGGGAGTCGTGGGAGCCCCCCCCCACTCCTTGGCCAGGTCGCACCCGACCTTGTCCCAGAAGCGAAGGACGGAGCACATGAAGGCGATCACCGACCTACAGAGCCAAGAGGCTTGGCGAGACAGACCACGAGCGTCGGACAGCGCGCCGACAACTGGGGCTCAGACTCTAACATCATCATCAAGTCGATGAGCTTCTCCACGCAGTCATCGCACGAGAAGTCGGCGGACCTCGCGCTGAGGCAATCGAAGCCATGCCCCAAGGGGGGCCTGAGCCTCGCAGTGCGAGCCAAACGCGAGCAAGCGAAGAACGGGCAAGCACCTCCGCCCGAGCCGCCGGAGCATGCATGTCCGAGATGGCCTCCCCACCGCCGAGCAAGTAGTGTTCACGCGCAAATTGCGCGGCAGCGAACGCCGCGCCCTGGCCGCCCCTCGGGGGCGCAAGGCCCACGGGCCTGGGGCAGCTTCTCGACGAAACATTGGGCCTTGCGGCCCCCGCGCATGACCGAGCTCTGAACCCAGTCCTTCCACTCGTCGAGGTCTGCCTTGACGCAGCAGCCGCCTCCTGCGCGCTGTCCACGCTGCTGCGCTGAATGTCAAGGCCCTCAAAGCCAGCCTCGACGACCCGACAAATCCGATGGCGGCCCAGGCCCAGCGACCTGACCCCCAAACAGCGACGCGACGTCCACCACGCCGAGATCGCTGACCAGCTGATTCCAGATGGGGCCGCGGCCCCTGGTCTTCGACGCTGCGGCCCCCATTCCCCGCGCGCCCCCCAGCTCTGCCTCGCCAGTGGCCGCGACGAGGGGAGGAGGGAGGAGGGAGGAGGGAGGAGGGAGGAGAGAGGAGGGAGGAGGGAGGAGGGTGCCCCGTCGCCGCCGGGGCGCAGCCGCTCTGGAGCGAGCGCGCCCGAGGGCGCCCCGCAGCGCTCGGCGCGGCAGTCGCCACGAAGAATGCACGGGCACCAGGCAGCACGGCTGCCTCGCGGACGTCAACCTTCGACGCGTTAACCTGAAGGGAAATTGGGACACACAAATAAATACACACAAATAACCAGATTCCCCATATTTACCTAACATCGAAGACTGATAGGTTTCTAGTGGTATAAAAAGAGAGCAGCACATTACTCCACAGGGGGGTCTGGGCAGCCGTTGGGGGGCCGTTGGGGTTTGCCGGGGGGGATCGTTTTTCGCATACAGTCACACACTTCGTGCTCTTCGACCTCCCAGAACTCCATTCCCAGAACTCCATTCCCGGGCCACATTCTGAATGCCCGGAGCCAACTGTAGGCCACTTCGTGCTCTTCGACTTCCCAGAACTCCATTCCCGGGCCACATTTTGAATGCCCGGAGCCAACTGTAGGCCACTTCGTGGTCTTCGAGTTCCCAGAACTCCATTCCCGGGCCACATTTTGAATGCCCGGAGCCAACTGTAGGCCACTTCGTGCTCTTCGAGTTCCCAGAACTCCATTCCCGGGCCACATTTTGGATGCCCGGAGCCAACTGTAGGCCACTTCGTGGTCTTCGAGTTCCCAGAACTCCATTCCTGGGCATGATTTTGAATGCCCGGAGCCAACTGTAGGCCACTTCGTGTTCTTCGAGTTCCCAGAACTCCATTCCTGCCACATTTCGAATGCTGAGGCAGGCTGATGCTGCGGCTGAGGCAGGCTGAGGCTGAGGCAGGCTGAGGCTGAGGCCGAGGCTGAAGGCAGACTGAGGCTGAGGCTGAAGCAGGCTGAGGCTGAGGCTGAGGCAGGCTGAGGCTGAGGCTGAGGCAGGCTGATGCTGAGGCAGGCTGAGGCTGAGGCTGAGGCTGATGCAGGCTGAGGCTGAGGCAGGCTGAGGCTGAGGCTGAGGCCAAGGCTCAAGGCAGACTGAGGCTTTGGCTGAAGCAGGCTGAGGCTGAGGCTGAGGCTGAGGCTGAGGCTGAGGCTGAGGCTGAGGCAGGCTGATGGCTGAGGCAGGCTGAGGCTGAGGCTGAGGCTGAGGCTGAGGCTGAGGCTGATGCAGGCTGAGGCTGAGGCAGGCTGAGGCGGAGGCCGAGGC